TCTCACTTACAAGTAAAATACTACTAAACCGTATTACTAAGTGGAAAGGAAATGTCAAATTTTAAACATAAAAATTTAATTTGAAGGTTGTGGCACATTGATTTTCTCTTAAATTTTGTTCTTCACCCCAATATGTCAAGTTTAAACTATTATTTATTACATTATTTACTTTTTATAATTATAATTAGTAGTTTTAAAACAAAAGCTAATAATAAAAATCATAAAAAACATATTTGAAGCTGTTGTCAAATTTGACAGCAACTCCCCCTTCTGCTATTACATGTCATGTCACATATGAATTGACATTGTGGTTGGAGAACACTGATTATGTCATTTTTTTACTGTTAATGTTGATGTAGACTTTTTGACATCTCATTTGAAGTTGCTTCAAATTCATCTATTATTTTTTTATCTTTTAAAATACAATTTTACCCCTATTGAAAAAGTAAGAGAAAAAAAAAAGTTAAGAAACCCACGATTCGTTTCTAACCATCAACTATGATCCCTCCAAGTAGGCCTGGCAAACGGGTCGTGTCAGTCGTGTTCGTGTCGTTTTCGTGTAACACATGTTATCTTAACAGGTCGTGTCGTGTCACACCCGTTATCTTAACGGGTCCTTAACAGGTCGTGTCACTTTACCCAACGGGTAAAGTGACCCGACCCGTTATGACCCGTTAAGAAAAATATATTTTTTTTCTTAAATTTGCACATACCACACATTGCCACATAAATATTACTTCAAAACATTAAAACACATTTGTCGTTTAAGTACTACATCTACACTCGAAAATAAGAGCCTAATAAAAAAATAATACATACACTACTAATCTATTACAAATTTTAAATGTGCAAGGATATGCAAAATGAAACAATTTTTGTTTTCAAGGTTGTGAAATCTTTCTCAAAAGTTTAAACCTGAATTTACAAAATCCTCGATTTACATCGATCATCATGAAATTGCATTGGAACTTTGGCTTGATCTATTGCCTTCAAGAGTTATGTTGATGATGTTTTCAGTAAAGTTTTCCACGTCATAACTATCTTCTGCATAAACTAAGCATAGAAAAACCAAACATTAAAAATCATTCAAATTATGAGAAGTTTACCAAAATAATTATGAAAAAAAATAAAACAATAGTATTATACCATACTTTTATTAAGTATAAACATAAGATTTTGTGGTATCCACTAGTGTAAATATTTTAAATTGAAGATCGAATTCAATCATTGTATTCATATAAGGTCAAGGAGTGTAGTTGTAAAAAATCATCAAAATCGGAGTTAAATTAACCGTTAAATCGTGATTTTTTGTTTACAACCGTCAAAACGTTTTGTCCCATTACGTGCTCTCTGAATGTTTGTTTTTTGCAATTTTTGGCGTATGCAATCTCGAAATATATACAAACATGTTTGACGGTTGGATCATTGAAAATAGTTTCGTAGAATGAGTATCCCATCAAAACAATAGATTCACTAATACTTAAGAGTTTATTCATACTTTTATTAAGTATAACATAAGATTTTGTGGTTTCCACTAGTGTAAATATTTTAAATTGAAGATCGAATTCAATCATTGTATTCATATAGGGTCAAGGAGTGTGGTTGTACAAAATCATCAAAATCGGAGTTAAAATGACCGTTAAATCGTGATTTTTCGTTTATAACCGTCAAAAAGTTTTGTCCCGTTACTTGCTCTCTGAATGTTTGTTTTTTGCAATTTTTGGTGTATGCGATCTCGAAGTATATACAAACATGTTTGGTGGTTGGATCGTTGAAATTAGTTTCGTATAATTCGTATCCCATCAAAACAATAGATTCACTAATACTTAATAGTTTATTCATACTTTTATTAAGTATAATATAAGATTTTGTGGTATCCACTAGTGTAAATATTTTAAATTGAAGATCGAATTCAATCATTGTATTCATATAGTGTCAAGGAGTGTGGTTGTAAAAAAACATCAAAATCAGAGTTAAAATGACCGTTAAATCGTGATTTTTCATTTATAACCGTCGAAAAGTTTTGTCCCGTTACTTGATCTCTGAATGTTTTTTTTTTTGTAATTTTTGACGTATACGATCGTGAAGTATATACAAACATGTTTGACGGTTGGAGAGTATCTCATCAAAACAATAGATTCACTAATACTTAATAGTTTATTCATACTTTTATTAAGTATAATATAAGATTTTGTGGTTTCCACTAGTGTAAATATTTTAAATTGAAGATCGAATTCAATCATTGTATTCATATAAGGTCAAGGAGTGTAGCTGAAAAAAATTATCAAAATCAGAGTTAAAATGACCGTTAAATCGTGATTTTTCTTTTTATAACCGTTGAAAAGTTTTGTCCCGTTAATTGATCTCTGAATGTTTGTTTTTTGTAATTTTTGACGTATGCGATCTCGAAGTATATACAAACATGTTTGACGGTTGGATCTTTGAAACTAGTTTCGTAGAATGAGTATCCCATCAAAACAATAGATTCACTAATACTTAATAGTTTATTCATACTTTTATTAAGTATAACATAAGATTTTGTGGTATCCACTAGTGTAAATATTTTAAATTGAAGATCGAATTCAATCATTGTATTCATATAAGGTCAAGGAGTGTAGTTGTAAAAAATTATCAAAATCGGAGTTAAATTAACCGTTAAATCATGATTTTTCGTTTATAACCGTCGAACATTTTTGTCCCGTTACTTGCTCTCTGAATGTTTTTTTTTTTGCAATTTTTGGCGTATGCGATCTCGAAATATATACAAACATGTTTGACGGTTGGATCATTGAAACTAGTTTCGTAGAATGAGTATCCCATTAAAACAATAGATTCACTAATACTTAAGAGTTTATTCATACTTTTATTAAGTATAACATAAGATTTTGTGGTATCCACTAGTGTAAATATTTTAAATTGAAGATCGAATTCAATCATTGTATTCATATAGGGTCAAGGAGTGTAGTTGTAAAAAATCATCAAAATCGGAGTTAAAATAACCGTTAAATCGTGATTTTTCGTTTATAACCGTCGAAAAATTTTGTCCCGTTACTTGCTCTCTGAATGTTTGTTTTTTGCAATTTTTGGCGTATGCGATCTCGAAGTATATATAAACATGTTTGACGGTTGGATCATTGAAACTAGTTTCGTAGAATGAGTATCCCATCAAAACAATAGATTCACTAATACTTAATAGTTTATTCATACTTTTATTAAGTATAATATAATATTTTGTGGTATCCACTAGTGTAAATATTTTAAATTGAAGATCGAATTCAATCATTGTATTCATATAAGGTCAAGGAGTGTAGTTGCAAAAAATCATCAAAATCAGAGTTAAAATGACCGTTAAATCGTGATTTTTCTTTTTATAACCGTCGAAAAGTTTTGTCCTGTTAATTGATCTCTGAATGTTTGTTTTTTGTAATTTTTTACGTATGCGATCTCGAAGTATATACAAACATGTTTGACGGTTGGATCTTTGAAACTAGTTTCGTAGAATGAGTATCCTATCAAAACAATAGATTCACTAATACTTAATAGTTTATTCATACTTTTATTAAGTATAACATAAGATTTTGTGGTATCCACTAGTGTAAATATTTTAAATTGAAGATCGAATTCATTACTTGTATTCATATAGGGTCAAGGAGTGTAGTTGTAAAAAATCATCAAAATCGGAGTTAAACTAACCGTTAAATCGTGATTTTTTGTTTATAACCGTCGAAAACTTTTGTCTCATTACTTGATCTCTGAATGTTTGTTTTTTGCAATTTTTGGCGTATGCGATCTCGAAGTATATACAAACATGTTTGACGGTTGGATCATTGAAACTAGTTTTGTAAAACGAGTATCCCATCAAAACAATAGATTTACTAATACTTAAGAGTTTATTCATACTTTTATTAAGTATAACATAAGATTTTGTGGTATCCACTAGTGTAAATATTTTAAATTGAAGATCGAATTCAATCATTGTATTCATATAGGGTCAAGGAGTGTGGTTGTAAAAAATCATCAAAATCGGAGTTAAAATAACCGTTAAATCGTGATTTTTCGTTTATAATCGTCGAAAAGTTTTGTCCCGTTACTTGCTCTCTGAATGTTTGTTTTTTGCAATTTTTGGCGTATGCGATCTCGAAGTATATACAAACATGTTTGATGGTTGGATCGTTGAAATTAGTTTCGTATAATTCGTATCCCATGAAGTTCAATGGTGTGTGTGTGTATATATATATATTTATTTATTAAGTAGATTTAAATCTATTTATTTTGTATGTATAATTATTATAGTTTTTAGGGGTATAAAATTTAATATATATATATATATATATATAATTATTATAGTTAATATTTTGGGTATAATTATTATATATATATATATAATTATTATAATTATTATAGTTAATTTAAATATATATATATATATTATAATTATTATAGTTTTTAGGGGTATAAAATTGTTAAATTAATATATATATATATATATATATATATATTATTATAGTATTTTTTAGGGTTATAAATTATTAAATTAATATTCTGCTTATCGTGTATCGTGTTACCCACGTGTATACCCGAACAAACCCGTTATCTTAACAGGTGCTTATCGGGTTACCCGATAACGACCCGTTTCGTTATCGTGTCGACCCGAACACCTGTTAATTTCGTGTCGTGTCGTGTCGGGTTATTGGGTCGTGTCAGGAATTGCTAGGCCTACCTCCAAGCTCCTCCCACGACTTCTCTCTCCAGCCTTCTTTGAGTTCTTTAATTTGAAATAAAAATTGGGGGTTCTTCAATTTCTTTTTGGGTTTTTATCACAAATAGTCCCTAAAATTGACCCTCACCATCAAAATGGTCCCTAAAATTAAAAATCAATAAATGTAGTCCCTGAAAATAGGTGTCGCAAATCAATGTGATCATTTCGTCAAAATTCTGTCAAAAATTCCGTTAAGTGCTAATGTGACACATAAATTCCAGCTTGATAGTGTTATCAAAGATCAACATCAGCGTCAACAAGCTCGGTGGCGAAATTCCAGCTTCTGTTTCTAATTGTTCGTCTCTAGAGTCCCTTGATTTGAGTCGAAACAATTTGGTCGGCGAAATCCCAAGAGGGATAAATATGTCTCGGAACCAACTCACTGGCCAAATACCTGACGGAATACCCGCCATGGAAACCCTTACAACTTTGGATCTCTCTTATAACAATTTCACCGGTAGAATCCCAACCAGGGGTCATTTTCTGGACATTGCCTCGTTTCGTGGGAACCCCTATCTCTGTACCAACGTCTCACGCCCGTGTTCCTTCATTAACAAGAAATCTCAAGACCACAATGTGTTTGGTTCCTCCAGGCTCGGTCTTATGATCATGGTTGGACCTGCGGTTCTCGGTTCCCTACTTATCCTACTTCTGGTATTCCTACTGATAAAGGTTTGTACAGGAAGAAATATTCAAAAATCTAGTGGTTGGAGGTTCACATTGTTCCAGCAGCTCGACCTCAAAGTCGAGGACTTGCTACAGTGCTTAAAGCAAGAGAACATTATAGGCAAAGGTGGTGCTGGGGTTGTCTACCGGGCAACCATGCCAAGCGGCCTCGTCATAGCAATCAAACAGCTAGTAGGATCATCAAGTAATACAGCAAAAACGGATCATGGATTTGCAGCGGAAATTAAGACGCTGGGACGAATCAAACACCGAAACATAGTGAGGGTTTTGGGATACATGTCGAACAATAAGGACTCTAATTTGTTGTTGTACGAGTACATGCCTAATGGTAGCTTGGGAAAAATATTGCATGGGGAAAATGGAGGGGAGTTGCAGTGGGAGAGGAGGTATAAAATTGCAGTGGAGGCTGCAAAGGGATTGTGTTATCTGCACCGTGACTGTTCACCCCTGATTATACACAGAGATGTCAAGTCCCATAACATCTTGTTGGATTCAAACTTTGAGGCTCATGTTGCTGATTTTGGGCTCGCCAAGTACTTTCATGGAGTAGCAGCTGATTGCATGTCTTCAGTTGCTGGTTCCTTCGGTTACATCGCCCCAGGTCCGTAATCTATTTCATCTTCGATTAATTAATTAAAGAATTGTTTGATAACTATTTTAATTTTCAGTTTATAGGGTTTTTAGTTTTTTCTTTCATTATAGAAAAATCGAAAAATTAAAACTTGTTTGATAATGGTTTTTAATTTTCAAATAAAAAAATATGAAAAATAAAAACTTAAAACCAAAATCTAAAATATGTTTTTCTGAGTTTTTACATTCTGACTTGATTTTGAAATCAGGTTTCATTTTTATAAAAATAAAAAATGTTAATGAAATGGTTATCAAAAGCCCCCTACCTTCACCAAAACATGTCAAATATTATATAATCAAGTATCTTGTTAGTCGAGCATCTATCTAGCTAGACCTGTTTTTTGGTCCACTTCCACTAACAATATATTTTTTTTATATGATGGTGCACAAACTTACTGAGTACGGTTATACACTGAAAGTGACGTGTACAGTTTTGGTGTGGTTTTGCTGGAGCTCATAACAGGGAGGAAAGCAGTGATGAACTATGAAGACGCTATAAACATAGTGGGTTGGGTGAGGAAAACTACCAAGTCGTTGTCCAGTTCATCATCGGTACTAGCAGTGGTGGATCCAAATCTCGCCGGATACCCCTTGGCGGCTGTCATACATTTGTTCAAACTGGCAATGCTGCGTGTCGACAACGACAGCTCTGCAAGACCTACGATGAGGGAAGTAGTTCACCTGATCAGTAATCCTCCTACATAGTCTTCTCCAAGCATAGTCAATCTTAATTTCGATGTTAAACTGGAGGTGTTAAAGGTAAAAAGGCTACCAATAGAATATCAGCGTGTTAAATTGGAGTTGTTCAAGGTAAAATTTTGAAATTTGTACCACTGTTGTTTCAGTCTCCACAATACAAACTTTTATTAAAAAATATAATGCAATGGAATTCAGATATTTCTTTTGAAAATTTTAATTTCTTTTATTTTTGGTCCAAAATGAATATTATTCATTCTCTTCGCACATTTGAAGCACAAAATTATAATTTTCCCAGTTTGTTCTGATGGAAGTTTGGTTGTAACATCGGCGAGTGAATCCACAACAACAAATTCGGGGTTGAGTTGTGAAAGTGATTATTTTTGTTCATTCAACGGAGATGAGTTGTGAAGGTGCATTTTATTCTTTCATTTTGTACACATTTGTACTATATTCCTAACGTCTAATATAGGTGAGACGTATTCATACTAGTGGGTCATAACTTTATTAGAGTAGAGATGTGATATATAAAATGTGGTGAATATAACGTTACTTTATTAATTAGAAAGAGTGGTGAACGTGACAAAAAAAGTCAAAAAGTAGGTAATAGTTGCACCATGGGTAGCTATTACTCACTTTTTATGTAGTGTCTCCAAATATCAATTAGGTTATTGTTTCTAATTGATCACAATTATAGTAAAATTACGTCTCTCCTACCATAGTGAAGACTAACGTCTATCTATATCAAGGAAATGATCAACAATGTTATGTTTATCGTTGATGTGTCTTGGTATCATCATTTGATTACATCTCATTTTGAATCACTTCGCTTTCATACATGACACTCGTGCATCCCTCCCTTTATGTAAAGTTTTGGTATACATGAATTGAATTCTTAAAAGTTTGTTAAAGATCGCATGTTGGGATAGGATTTGACCTATTGACTTGGACTAACTTTAGCACATTTTCTTGAATAACTTTAGCAATTCTGTTAACTTAATTGTGTTGATCGTATATTTCCCAAAAGAAAAATAATTTTTCTATTTAAACACGATCAGAGCCGACTTTAATTCAGGGCTAGCAAGACGACCGCCTGGACCCCAAAGAGTAAGTGGCACCAAAAAATTATAAGTTTCTATTAAAATGAGGTTATATTTCTATTTACACCCCACTATTCATCTAAGTTCACCCCATTATTTTTTTTCTTTTAAAATCCAATTTTACCCCTATCAAAAACCAAGAAACCAAGAGAAAAAAAAATAGTCACTTAGTACTACGATCTAGTGGTATTCATCTTCACTTGTAAGTGAGATGTTAGGTTCGATTCTCGTCAAAGGAGAATCTGAACCACATTATTGCTAGCCCATTGTGAGGCTAAGTTCACCCCCTTTCCGTAGTGTAGATAATATCGTTTGTTAAAAAAAAAAAACAAAAGTAAAGAAACCCACGATTCATTTCTAACCATCAGTTGTGATTTCTACAAGCTCCGCCGTCCACTTCCGGCTCTCTCCCGCCTTCTCTGAGTTCTTTAATTTGAAATTAAAAATTGGGGGTTCTTTAATTTTTTATTCTCTTGTTGCCTAATTTATTTATTTTTTTCTGTTTTCTTGTTGATATCGTGCGGTGGGTCTAGAACTTTATCCAACATCAACCTTTATATCACTAATTGAGTGAAAATGAGAGATGAAACAAATCCTCAATGGCAATAATGCTCTACTTTGAATGCTTTAGTGAGAGCGAGGAGGCCCGCATTCATGTTGGTGGACGACTCTGGCGTACTAATGTTAAGGAGTTCAAATTTTTAAGCTAAATTTTACAAACTAAATTATGTGGATGTTGATGACTAGATTATTACTTCACTATTGATTAACGTATTTATTTCCTATTAATGATATATCATTGAGTTTAAAATTTTGATCTCCCTAACATTATCCGACTATAAAAACTCTTATCAAAATATCCTACCTGCAGAGCTAGTTTTGCTTACTTGTTATACAATGGAAACGGCCACGGATTCGATCCTCGTGACTTGCTCTATTATTTATTTGTAACTTTTCATCCTTTTACGAATCATTTGGACTTTGGTTTAAACAAGTACCGAAAATAATAGCTCAAATTCCTTACACTACTACAATATAGGCTATCACCGGCGGACCAAAAACCGACAAGAAACCCGATTTATGTCGGCAATTTGGCAAAAATCCGACATAAAACACTGCAATGTCGGATTAGAATAGCGACGCCATTGCTACCGTCACTAAAGGGCTTCAGTGTCGGTTTGTTCGCTTAATCCGCCACTAAGCAGCGTCGGTTTGAAGCGACGCTGATTTCAACGTCGGTTTAAAGCGACGTTAGATAACAATTAAATAAATAAAATATGCAAACTAGTGACGGTTTAAAGTGACGTTAGATAACAATTAAATAAATAAAAAATGCAAACAAGTGACGGTTTAAAGCGACGTTAGATAACAATTAAATAAATAAAATATGCAAACAAGTGACGGTTTAAAGCGACGTTAGATAAGAATTAAATAAATAAAATATGCAAACTAGTGACGGTTTAAAGCGACACCACCTTTGATAATAATAATAAATAAAAAATCGAAATCTGTTTCTGTATTCGTTCTCAAATAATTATAACTCAAAAAAATTATATAATCTAATAATAAATTTCAATTATAGGATTCACTTCAGGAGGAGGGTTGCTGCGCACCTCTGCTGAGATATACCTTATTAATACAAAAAAAAACAACTAAAAAACAGGAAACAAATGTAAAATTTCAATTTAAGAATAATATTAGTTTAAACACTAAACAAAAACTGAAATTTATAATAAGTAAAAAAAGAACCAGTTTCTAACACCTCCTCTTCCAAATGAAGTTCCTCAGAACATTGATCCTCACTAGAATTATCCATAGCAAAAGTTAGTGAAAAAAATCCGTGGCACCAACAACGTTGATGAGGAGTTCCAAGACCTTTTTGATGCTACTGACGCTGCCCAAAAAGTGGAAAACCAATGGACCAACATCACAGAGCCGAGATATAGGCCTCAACTTGTCATTTGCATTCTCGTTCCATTCTTCTAGCAGCTCACCGGGATCAATGTGATCATGTTTTACGCACCAGTTATTTTCATGACCTTGGGGTTTGGAGACGAAGCATCCCTAATGTCCGCAGTCATCACCGGCGGTGTTAACGTGGTTGCTACCTTTGTGTCCATTCTCGCAGTCGATAAGTTCGGAAGAAGGGTGTTGTTCCTTCAAGGTGGTGTGCAGATGCTCCTGTGCCAGGTACTTAAACACAATCAATTTAATAAAAACAATTGTTTGCCTCCTTTAATTTGTAAAGGACATTACCAAACTTCCACACATGCACTGTAGGTTGCCGTTGGAGTGATGATAGGCAATCGGATCTTGTTCCACACATGCACTGTAGGTTTACTCCCTCTCCTTCTCCTTTACAAAAACTGAAGCCAATCGGATCTTGTTCTCGATCTGTGCATATGTAGCAGCATTTGCATGGTCTTGGGGTCCGTTGCGGTTGGTGCCGAGCGAGATTTGCCCTCTGGAGATCCGGTCAGCCGGACAAGCCATCAATGTCTCGGTGAACATCTGGGTTCTGATATAATCCAAGCATCTGGGTTCTGATATAACATTGAAAAGTCGACAAGGGAAAGTAACCAGAGGAGAAGGAGAGGGAGTAAACCAGAGGAGAAATATAAGAGAGATGGAGTTCTGATATAACAGCATCTGGGTTAAATACTGATGGAACAAAGATTGAAAAGTCAATCAGAGTTCTGATATAACAGCATCTGGGTTAAATACTGATGGAGTTCTGATATGACAAGAGAGATGGAAGCGCATAAGTCCTGGGAAAGACGAGGCTTAAATACTAATGAACATAGCGTCGGTTAATACCGACAGTAGCTACAAGTTGTGTTGAAATGTGAAAACCTTACGTTGGTCAAAACCGACGCAATGTCTGACAAATTGATAAAAAATGACTTTGCGTCGAAATATGATGAACACTAGTTCTGACTACACGCAGCCTGACACGCTTTTGACTGAATGGTCTGACATATTTTTGACTGACAGGGTTGCGTCGGATAAAACCGACGTTAGCTTGATAGATTTGTGTAGCGTCGAAATAAGGAATCTTTGTGTCGAAATAATGAGAGTTTGCGTCGGTTAAAACCGACGCCAACTCTGACACAGTCTGCAAGAGCTCGTCCAACCCATTTCCCCGTGCAAAACAAACTGGGAAAATTCCCGCCCAAATTTAAACCAAAGTTAAAATATAACCAGTTATTTTATCTTATATAATATTTTAATAAATAAAATATAACTTATATATAATTCTTGTAGCATAAGGACTCCTTGTAGCATACCGGATTAAAGTTCCTGCACAAAGGACTCCTTGTAGCATACCGGATTAAAATATAATCAGTTCTGTCTATGATTGTATATTAGTTTTCATAAGGACTCCTTGTAGCATACCGGATTTTTTTTTTGGGTTGTTGGAAACAAATTTTTGAAGAATTGCTAATGAGCAATTTTGGTTAATGTAACATTTGAATTCTATTGTGATCCTTCTATGTTAAGAGCTATCTTATTGTGCGAAGTCCAGGGGTAAAATTTCATCTTTGCCAACCACACTTCTTTCTGTTGTCATCCATGGTGCTTTTATCCAGGAATACTTTCATGGCTGTACAACTCCTGGAATCAATATAGAGGCTTGTAACATGGTAATAAACGTTTTAGTTGGAGGAAGTGGGTCACTTTTTAAACGCTTCCATTGTGTAATAGATGTCCGGCTAAAACATTTAAGTCGTATCCAGGTAAACTTGGCAAGTTATTCTGTAAGAAGAATGTATTGAAGGCTTGTAGGATTTGACCAGAGTTTTCTTCCTGTTGTGTCTTTACAAGTGGCATCATTGTGATTTACATATGATTTCTCCTTTTCAGGACGATGCTAATTGCAAATGCTGGAGATTGCCGAGCTGTGCTGGGAAGAAGAGGTAGGGCAATTGAGCTTTCCAAAGACCATAAACCCAATTGTGCCTCCGAAAGAGTGAGAATCGAGAAACTGGGAGGCATGGTGTATGATGGCTACCTCAACGGTCAATTATCTGTGGCACGAGCTCTTGGGGACTGGCACATGAAAGGCTCCAAAGGTTCCTTGTGTCCCTTGAGTGCAGAGCCAGAGCTCGAGGAGACAATTCTGAGCGAGGAAGACGAATTCTTAATCCTAGGCTGTGATGGGTTGTGGGATGTGATGAGCAGCCAGTGTGCAGTCACGATGGCAAGGAAAGAACTAATGATCCACAATGATCCCGAGAGATGCTCAAGAGAGCTGGTTCGGGAGGCACTCAAGCGCAATACGTGCGATAACCTGACGGTGGTAGTGGTATGCTTCTCGCCAGATCCACCCCCGTTGCTTGAGATCCCAAAGTTAAAATTCAAGAGGAGTATATCGGCGGAAGGCCTGAATCTTCTGCAGGAGGTACTAGATAGTAAATCATGATCAGATTTGATGATCAATCACAGTTTGTGGACGATATTGAATGATCAGGTTTCTTTTTTCTCTTTTATTTATTTATTTATTCGTAATGCCATCAATCAGCCAATCTTTGCTTGTTTTGATCTGTCTTGGGATCGAATTAATTCTGTTGGCTTTTGATTGAAATTTGTTGTACATACTAATAAATCAGCTTCTTTCTTTTTCCTTCGATTTTTTGGCATCTCTCACATCTCTAAATGAAAAAAAAAAGCATCATCAAACCACCAATTTCAACTCCGTTCGTCTGCTGAGATTCAAAACATGTGTTTGCGGGAATGACAGCGGAGCTCTCCTGTATTCATTTATAATAACCTGAACGCAAAATTATGTATTTTATTGTCAACTTTTGTATTTTAGTGTTAGTTTTAGATATAGTTTGTTCATTGTTTTTATATTAAACATACTTCTATATATCAAAATGGATAATCATACTAGTATGCCACCAAATAAATTACATGTAATAAAAAAAGCCGAGAACACTCAAAAACTTATAAAATATATGAATCCGAATTAGGTTCCAAAATTTCTGAGATTACTCCAATTACAAAATTTCCAAATTTAAAAATTATGTTCCTATCCGACCTTATTCCGAAATTTGGGAGCGAAAATTGGAAACTTGGTTTTCAATCCGATCCTTCCTAAAATCATCCTTGCGACAAAGGATAGGCACATACCAATTTTGATGGATTTTTATGCATGGATTAATGTGATATCAATACGTGGTCCTGGGACTCACTGAAAGTTGGAAACACGCTTATGAAAGTCCTTTAAGGACTCTTTGAATGTCTGGTGTGAGACTCTTTTGTGTTCATCAATGTTTAATATAATGTATGCTCAGCGCATCTCGGTAAAATTTGACAATGAATCTCAACAATACTCGATATGGGCTCCCGACAACACTCCATGGACTACTTTGACGTACGTTGACATGTATACAACGTGATTTGACATACGACGAAAATCAACTAAATTGGCCAAATGATTGCACGCTTTGTACGATGTTTATCTAAACAAACTTGAATGTTTTATTTAGCAGCCCTAAAGTCCGAACATAAATCGGCCAAACTGATCAATGCTCCAATTTCCTCTTTCTTCTAACATGTAAATTGGCAGCCTCAAATATTTTGATAAGGATTCTATCATGAAAAACTTGGGTACAATTATTAAAGTGTGCAATTGGGATGAGACGCAAGCAAAAGCTCTCTCACCATGAAATAAATTAGACCTACACATTGACCTAAGTGTGAAAATTAAATAGAAAACTAGATTTTAATTCCTAAATAAGATGAAGTTTAGAAAAATGTCTCATACAAGATTAAAAATCTATTTTAGTCCTTGGACTCTATTTAATGCCAACATATGTATTCAATGTCTCTTTTTTTATTTATAATTTTATGAATTTAAATTTTATGAAATTATTATAAATTTTAATTCTCATTATGGTAAGCATCTTATATAAGAAAATATTTTCGTAGAGATTTTTCAGTACACTTATGTTTTTGCATATTTTCTTATTTACCACTAATTTATTACAATATATTTAGGTACGAACATTTCGGTACACTGGGTTAATATAATATGTTTAGGTACGGATATTTTGGTGCACTAGTTTAATATAATATATTTAGGTACTAATATTTCAGTACACTAGTTTAGTATCATATAGTTAGGTATGGAATTTTTGGTACACTTATGTTTTTACATATTTTATTATGTGTCGCTGATTCACTATAATATATTTAGGTACGGGTATTTTGGTACACTAATTTAGTAAAATATATTATGATACAGACATTTAGGTACACTATTTAGGAAAAGTTAAATAAAATTAATGAATTAAAATGTGTATAATAATAAATTTTAATTTTAATTTAATAACATTAAATATAAAAACAAAAATATAATATAAATTTAAATTAAGTACAGTTAAGGGACTAAAATCAATATTCAATTTAACATCAGGTTTTTATTGAATTTTAATATTTTTGAAGGATTAAAGCTCAAAAACCTCAAAATTAAAATTAGTGGCAGAAACACTGAAAATTCTAAAAATAATCCTTTTTGTCCTACTCCTACCCACCCACTTACAACCTTTCCAGTCAACGTAGTACTACTATATTATATAAAACAAATCATGTAATTAACATAAACTATGAACTAATCACGAATTCACGATCAAGAAGAAAGAACTAGCTAGTGGCCACTGATCAGTGATCACCGATGGAAAATAAAAAATTTAAGACGCTAATATCCGCCTACGTTTCCTTCATCATATTCCTTTTGTTCCCATCATCGCCGTGCGCCGACGACCTCGACGCGCTACTGAAGCTCAAGAAGGCCATGAATATTACCGGGTGGGAGCCCTCCGCCCAGCACTACTGCTCCTTTTCTGGAGTTTCATGCGACCAGCGATTACGAGTGGTTGCTCTTAACGTCTCAAATATGCCGCCCGTGCGGGATCGAGGCTCGATTCCAGCAGAGATCGGGCTTCTAAACAAACTTGTGAACCTCAGCCTCGCCAAATACAACCTCTCGGGGAGGCTTCCCACGGAGATGGCCAACCTGACGGCGTTAAAGCATTTGAACATCTCAAACAACTTCTTCAGCGGCATGTTCCCCGGAGAAATCACGCTCGGGATGACGGAGCTTGAGGTCCTTGACGCCTACAATAACGACTTCACGGGACAGCTGCCGCTGGAGCTCGCCGCCGGCTGTAAAAAGCTCAAACATCTTCATCTGGGAGGCAACTACTTCACTGGAAACATTCCCGAAAGTTATTCTAATATCCGGAGCTTGGAGTACTTAGGCCTCAACGGAAATTTGCTCAGCGGAAAGCTCCCCGCCAGCTTGGCACAGATAAAGAACCTCAAGGAATTGTACCTAGGGTACTATAACAATTATGATGGCGGGATTCCACCGGAGTTTGGATCGCTGCCGTTGCTGAAAGTGCTCGACATGAGCAGCTGTAACCTCATTGGCAAGATTCCCACAAGTCTGAGCCTTTTGAAGAATTTGCACTCGTTGTTTTTACAAGTAAATCGGCTCAGTGGTTTTATACCACCGGAGCTTTCGAGCATGGCGAACCTCGTGACCTTGGATCTCTCCATAAACGAACTCACTGGAAAAATACCCGAAAGTTTCTCAGAGCTGAAGAGCATTAGGTTAATAAATCTGTACAAGAACGACCTTTACGGTCCCATACCCAAGTTCATCGGCGATCTTCCTTATCTGGAGATTCTTCAGCTGTGGGAGAACAACTTTACATACGAACTACCCGAAAGTCTTGGCCAGAACGGCAGGCTTACGGATTTGGATGTCACCGGCAACCACCTGACCGGGTTGATTCCTCAGAATCTGTGCTTAGGCGGGAGGCTGAGGACGCTGATTCTGATGGATAACAACTTCTTTGGGCCCATTCCGTTGGAGCTCGGCCAATGCAAGTCTCTTGTCAAAATCAGAATGATGAAAAACAGAATCAGCGGGACTATTCCTGTTGGGATCTTCAACTTGCCCAGCTTGGGTATGATTGAGATGAATGATAACTGCCTGTCCGGTCAACTTCCAACACAAATGACAGCGGGCACACTCGCAATCCTCTCGCTTTCTGCGAATCAGATTTCGGGGAGGATCCCACCCGCAATTGGAAACCTCAACAACTTAACAACTCTCTCGCTGGAGATGAACCGATTTTCTGGGAAAATACCAGACGAAATCTTTAACTTGATAGTGTTATCAAAAATCAACATCAGCGTCAACAAGCTCGGTGGCGAAATTCCAGCTTCTGTTTCTAAGTGTTCGTCTCTAGGGTCCCTTGATTTGAGTCGAAACAATTTGGTCGGCGAAATCCCAAGAGGGATAGAGAAGCTGAAACTAGTTTATCTTCTGAATATGTCTCGGAACCAACTCACTGGCCAAATACCTGACGGAATACCCGCCATGGAAACCCTTACAACTTTGGATCTCTCTTATAACAATTTCACCGGTAGAATCCCAACCGGTGATCATTTTCTGGACATCGCGTCGTTTCGTGGGAACCCCTATCTCTGTACCAACGTCTCACGCCCGTGTTCCTTCATTAACATGAAATCTCAAGACCACAATGTGTTTGGTTCCTCCAGGCTCGGTCTTATGATCATCGCTGGACTACCTGCGGTTCTCGGTTCCCTACTTATCGTGCTTCTAGTATTCCTACTGATAAAGATTTGTACAGGAAGAAGTATTCAAAAATCTAGTGGTTGGAGGCTCACATTGTTCCAGCAGCTCGACCTCAAAGTCGAGGACTTGCTACAGTGCATAAAGCAAGAGAATATAATAGGCAAAGGCGGTGCTGGGATTGTCTACCGGGGAACCATGCCAAGCGGCCTTGACATAGCAATCAAACAGCTAGTAGGATCATCAAGTAATAGAGGGCAAATGGATCATGGATTTGCAGCGGAGATTAAGACGCTGGGGCGAATCAAACACCGAAACATAGTGAGGCTTTTGGGATACATGTCGAACAATAAGGACTCTAATTTGTTGTTGTACGAGTACATGCCTAATGGTAGCTTGGGAAAAATATTGCATGGGGAAAATGGAGGGGAGTTTCAGTGGGAGAGGAGGTATAAAATTGCAGTGGAGGCTGCAAAGGGATTGTGTTATCTGCACCATGACTGTTCACCCCTGATTATACACAGAGATGTCAAGTCCCATAACATCTTGTTGGATTCAAACTTTGAGGCTCATGTTGCTGATTTTGGGCTCGCCAAGTACTTCCATGGAGTTGCAGCTGATTGCATGTCTTCAGTTGCTGGTTCCTTCGGTTACATCGCCCCAGGTCCGTAATCTATTTCATCTTCGGTTAATTAATTAAAGAATTATTTGATAATTATTTTAATTTTCAGTTTATAGGGTTTTTTTTTCTTTCATTATAGAAAAATCGAAAATTAAAACTTGTTTGATAACGGTTTTTAATTTTCAAATAAAAAAATATGAAAAATGAAAACTTAAGACCAAAATCTAAAATATGTTTTTGTGAGTTTTTACCTTCTGACTTGATTTTGAAATCAGATTTCATTTGTATAAAAATAAAAAATAATAAAAATGTAAATGAAATGGTTATCAAAAGCTCCGTACCTTCACCAAAACACGTCAAATATAAAAAAGTTTCTTGTTAGTCAAGCATCTATCAATAATTTATTTTATTTTATATGATGGTGCAAACTTACAGAGTACGGTTATACACTAAAAGTGGATGAGAAAATAGACGTGTACAGTTTTGGTGTGGTTTTGCTGGAGCTAATAACAGGGAGGAAAGCAGTGATGAACTATGAAGACGCTATAAGCTTAGTGGGTTGGGTGAGGAAAACTACCAAGTCGTTGTCCAGTTCATCATCGGTTCTAGCAGTGGTGGATCCAAATCTCGCCGGATACCCCTTGGCGGCTGTCATACATTTGTTCAAACTGGCAATGCTGTGTGTCGACAACGACAGCTCTGCAAGACCTACGATGAGGGAAGTAGTTCACCTGATCAGTAATCCTCCTACATAGTCTTCTCCAAGCATAGTCAATCTTAATTTTGATGTTAAACTGGAGGTGTTAAAGGTAAAAAGGCTACCAATAGAATATCAGCGTGTTAAATTGGAGTTGTTCAAGGTAAAATTTCGAAATTTGTACCACTGTTGTATCAGTCTCCACAATACAAACTTTTATTAAAAAAATATAATCCAATGGAATTCAGATATTTCTTTTGAAAATTTTAATTTCTTTTATTTTTGGTCCAAAATGAATATTATTCATTCTCTTCACACATTTGAAGCACAAAATTATAATTTTCCCAGTTTGTTCTGATGGAAGTTTGATTGTAACATCGGCGAGTGAATCCACAACAATAAATTCGGCGTTGAGTTGTGAAAGTGATTATTTTTGTTCATTCAACAGAGTTGAGTTGTGACGGTGCATTATATTCTTTCATTTTGTACACATTTGTACTACATTCCTAACGTCTAATATAGGTGAGATGTATTCATACTAGTGGGTCATAACTTTATTAGAGTAGAGATGTGATATATAAAATGTGGTGAATGTAACGTTACTTTATTAATTAGATAGAGTGGTGAACGTAACAAAAAGGTCAAAAAGTAGGTAATAGTTGCACCACGGGTAGCTATTGCTCACTTTTTATGTAGTGTCACCAAATATCATTTAGGTTATTGTTTCTAATTGAACAATTATAGTAAAATTGCATCTCTCTTACCATAGTAAAGACTAACGTCTATCTATATCAAAGAGAAAATCAACAATGTTATGTTTATCGTTGATGTGTGTCTTGGTAACATCATTTGATTACATCTCGTTTTGAATCACTTCGCTTTCACACATGATACTCGTGCATCCCTCCCTTTATGTAAAGTTTTGGTATACATGAATTGAATTCTTAAAAGTTTGTTAAAGATCCATGTTGGGAAAGGATTTGACTTAATGACGTGGACTAACTTTAGCACGTTTTCTTGAATAACTTTAGCAATTCTGTTAACTTAATTGTGTTGATTGTATATTTCCCAAAAGAAAATTAATTTTTCTATTTAAACACGATCAAAGCCGACTCTAATTCAGGTTAGCAAGACGACCGCCGGGACCCCGAATGGTAAGTGGCACCAAAAAATTATAAGTTTCTATTAAAATGAGGTTATATTTCTATTTACACCCCACTATTCATCTAAGTTCACCCCATTTTTTTTCTTTTAAAATCCAATTTTACCCCTATCAAAAACTAAGAAACCAAGAGAAACAAAAGTAGTTACTTAATATTATGATCTAATGGTATTCTTCTTTACTTGTAAGTAAGAGGTTAGGTTCGATTCTCATCAAAGGCGAATTTGAACCACATTATTATTAGCCCATTGTGAAACTAAGTCCACCCCCTTCCCGTAGTGTAGATATTATTATTTGTTAAAAAAAAAAGAAAAAAAAAAGTAAAGAAACCCACGATTCATTTCTGACCATCAGCTGTGATTCCTACAAGCTCCGCCGTCCACTTCCGGCTCTCTCCCGCCTTCTCTGAGTTCTTTAATTTGAAATTAAAAATTGGGGGTTCTTTAATTTTTTTATTCTCTTGTTGCCTAATTTATTTATTTTTTTCTGTTTTCTTGTTGATATCGTGCTGTGGGTCTAGAACTTTATCCAACATCAACCTTTATATCACTAACTGAGTGAAAATGAGAGATGAAACAAATCCTCAATGGCAATAATGATCTACTTTGAATGCTTTAGTGAGAGCGAGGAGGCCCGCATTCATGTTGGTGGATGTCTAGCGGATAATGTTAGGGAGATCAAATTTTTAAACTAAATTTTACAAACTAAATGATGTGAATGTTGATGACTAAATTATTACTTCAGTAATGATTAACGTGTTTATTTCGTATTAATGATATATCATTGAGTTCAAAAATTTGATCTCCCTAACCTTATCCGACTATAAAAACTCTTATCAAAATATCCTACTTGCAGAGCTAGTTTTGCTTACTTGTTATATAATGGAAACGGCCACGGATTCGATCATCGTGACTTGCTCGATTATTTATTTTTAACTTTTCATCCTTTTACGAATAATTTGGAGTTTGGTTTAAACAAATACCGAAAATAATAGCTCAAATTCCTTAGCCACCTGGTTCAATTTTTTTTTTTTGTCAAACCAAGTTATTTATATTAAATAAAAAGACTAGTACAAGAAAAATAGAGCTCAAAACAGCCCACAACTTAAATACAAACCCAATTGCAAGAAAGAAAATACAGTAAAAAACTCAAAAAAAAAGTCAACTCATAATTACAAAAAAACTTAAGAGCATCTCCAATAGGGGTCCCTATTTAGACCAAACCCAACCTTAGGCTGAAGGCTGAAGGTCAAATTACCCCATTTATTCCCCTCCCCCGCCCCCCCCCCCCCCCCCCCCAACCCCCCCCCCCCCAAAAAAAACCCAACCCAATCCAAGCCAAATATTTGGGCTAAATGCTAAAGCTAAACTCAAGCCAAATTCCCCCCAAGATTTAGCCCACATGCGCGTGGACTCACCCAAGCCCAGCCCAATCTTGGCCCCGTCACATGTTCAACTTGCCCCACTCGGGCTGAAGCCTTCAGCGCTCGACAGGGTGGGACCCACTGTCAGGGCCCTGTCGGCCACAATCATGAGCCCAATGACTCTTTTGTTCTTCCGACGGTTGACATTTTTGGACTGTTGGTTGATCCAACGGTCCAGATTAAATTTTTTTTTTAAATGTTATTTTAAAATACATTGAATCCAACGGCTGAGATCGAATATAATCAAATTTAACGGTAAAAAAAAAGATCTAACGGCCCAAATTTAAATCCAACGGCTAAAATAATTAAAAAATTATTTAACTCAAAATTCACCAAAAAATTCTATAAATACCTATATATTTGTTCAAACCGTGGGAGAGGAAGAGGTTAGCTTTGCACTCTTCGCAAAGCACCCATTAGCTAGCATCCGAAATGTAGATGTGAGCATCTGCTGAGGTGATAGACTTTGTCGGCCTACGACATCTATCTTCCTTGCAAAGTAGTGGTCATGATTGACCACTGCATTCAAGATGCTTTCAAAAAGCTCTCTCCTCATCCGAAACCGCCTCCGAATATCATGAGCAAGAAATCTCGAACACTCGATGAAATAATCTTTCGTCATTCAGTCATGACACTCTTCTCTATCACGCTGCACAAATGAACGCCCCGTGACAAAATCACGATAGCTAGATTCAGCATGGTACTCATATTGCATAAGCGAGTTTGCAAGTTCAGCTTCTGCGTTGATCATTTATGAATCCTCAATGTCAAGGCTTGCTTGGTATTGTGCCATCTGCATTGCCCTGCTACGCCTTCTTCTATCACCCACTGATGAGATATTGAGGATTTTTAGGAACAAAAACTCTTTGAAAGTTGAAAGATTGGTGAATATAGAGGATGATTGAAGGTTGAAAGATTGTGTGATCAACTGATATTCAACCTGTGTTTATATAAAGGATGATTGAAGGTTTCAGTTTCATGTGTGTAGGTTTATGTTTCATGCGTTTCATGTGTTTTGTATGTATTTTGTACGTGTTTTGTGTGTGTCATGTGTTTCACATGTGTGTTGTGTGTGCTTCATCATATCATGTGTTTTGTATGTATTTTGTATGTGTTTCGTGTGTGTCATTTGTTTCACATGTGTTCTGTGTGTGCTTCATCTCTATCATGTGTTTTGTATGTCCTTCACATGTGTTTTGTATGTGTTTTACATGTGTTCTGTGTGTCTTGTGTGTTTTATGTATTTTGTGTTTATACATCTATATCATGATGTTCATATTCTTCCATAGTGTTTCATGAGTTTCATGTATCGATTTAGTGATTTTTCAATATTTATCGGAATTTAAATATTTTTAGATTAAAATGTTTATAAAATTAATTTACGATAGTCTACATAATTTTTTTTTTAAAGAAAATTTAAGAAAAAAATTAGCCTAAGTTCATTCTTTAATAATCCCAGACTAAAATTTTAAGTCAGAAGGGTTAGAACAGAAAAATTATTTCTAGGCTAAAAACTAAATTTTCCGGGCTAAAAAATTTGGCTTTTAGCCCAAGGGTTGGAGATGGTCTTAGGGACTCCTACCACCACCTTTGAGTACTCATTTAAAGATTTAAAGAGAATCTTTGTGTCCCTAAAGGAATATTACCTCCAATGGGAGAGTCCTTATAGTAGAATCCCTAAATTTGAGGTTTTTACAATTTTATGTGATAATTTGATTAGGTGCACATTTTTGTTTATGTTAACATTAAGTTCTCGTAAAATATTTTTGTGAATATTTTAACCAAAAAAAAATTCAAATTCTGACACTAAATTGTTTCATCACAAAAACGTAACTAGAGTAAGTGAATTGAGTACGAATGAACTGAGTATATGAGATAAAGTTGTGGTAAGTTTTGGTTAGATGATTTGGTATTTATAGGAATGATGAGAGAACAAAATGAAAGAGTAATCCAAATTGAAAATATTAATATTTCAACGGAAGCATTATGAAAAGAGAAAACAAAAGAATTTGAAAACCAACATGACAGAGTAACCTAAATTGAAACGGGTTTTTAATTGGAACTATTGATCTTTCAATGGTAAACAAATTTGAAAAGCAAGAATCAATTTGGACCTTCCATTTTAAATGGTTAAAAAGAAAAGAAAAAAAAAGACAAGGCTATGTGACTGGGACCCACGCCTGTTTTTCCACTTAAATTGTCCTATTAGGTCCACCATTTTAGTCCCTATATATGGGTACATACACCAAGTATCTAGCGAGTTCCTATACTTTAGGGACTCACTTTCCGATCTATTGGAGATTCATTTTGTCCTTATATTTATTTTATACTCATTTTATATGGTGCTTGTCCCTATATAGGGACTTAACTGGAGATGCTCTAAATTTGGAGAGGAAATAGCAGCGTCTAACAAGTCAGTTGTGCCACGATCGCAAGGCCGCCACAACCAAGAGAACAAACCAACAAAACAATTGCACCAACGGAATATGGGGGTGAGCAAGCCACCTGCACATTGAGTGCTCCCATAATCCTACCAAACAGTCCTAAAAACACTTAAACAACACACAACACCAAAGTGCGCTACTGAAGAGAGGCCTCCGATAGGTTAAGTAGCAGAGGTTGATTGTGGAAGACTTGTGACATCACTGACATGAAATGACAACTGAGTAAGAAAGAGACATGAAAGCCCAGATTGAGACAAACTCATAAAATTGAGACAAAAACTCAGACGAGGGCACCAAATCAAGGGCCAAAGCCAAAAAGAGAAGATAAATAAAGACTATAACGATAAAAGACTAAAAGGAACATGA